TCAGTGAGCACAATTATGATACGTAAGATTACTTGTTTTGTTCGTATATGTATATTTATTTGCGTTGAGTTGCTAAAAAAAAACGCTTGGGCTGTAATACATTCTAAATACCTCATAATGCTCATTCATTATGGCAATGTAGTCTATTTTCTATTCCTTCGTTATCCTTGAAAAGATAAAAATTTGTTTAGAGGACTATATCACTACGCTAAAAGTGTAGTGGTTATCATTGAATCATTATGTAACTTTAAGCAACACATGTCTTTCATGCGAGGAAATTTCAGGAGTACATGGTAGTCAAATATGGTCTAAATGCCAGCTGTATTCGTTTGTTAACGGATCATCAATTTTGTAATACCCAAAACACATCTACTTAATTTGCAAATTACAAGTTTCGTTTAAATTTATATTTTAAACTTATTTCCAGGACCCGCCAGTGTAGAAGTCCTACAAATGTCACCTTCAACTACACAAATTGAAGTCAGCTGGGAACTGTCATCCAGCCTATGCTCCCCTGACTACTATATCATGCGTTATAGTCTTCGTCAGAAGCTGGCCTGCTCTTCACCAGTAACCAACCCAACAGAGTTTGAATTGATCACCAATGTCAAACAATACAATAATCTAGTGGGGTTGGAGCCTTACTCGCGATACCAGATCACAGTTACAGCTGTAAATGGTGCTGGACAGAGTGAACCCACGATCGGCTATTCAGATACCAGGCCAGGACGTGAGTAATGAATGTATACATCCCATGTGTAACAGTCAATAATAAATAGATTTAAAAAAACATTAACAAAAACAAAACCTTCTTATTAGTTTTCCGATTTTGCTCAAACTTTTTTTGATTGGTTTGTCTGATTTTACTGTTTCTATTGAAAGTAAGTTATTTTTCGAGTGAACTTGTCCTTTAAGGGGTCCAAAAACGTCCGCTTTGGGCTATTTTAAAGAAAAGGGGTACTTTTCAAAATGGTACACAATCCTACTGTACGCGCCAGTATACTCGTTTAGGGGTATAGCTGTCAGGTTAGACCAGGGGAAAAAGGGGTAATCATAATGCCCATTAGCGAGACTTCCGGCCGCCGCCTGCCAGTATTTAGATCTTCATGGGATCAAGATGGATACCCACAATACCGACCCAGGCCTACCAGTCTCACGCCTATAGCTGGTCCCTTATGTTGTCATGTGACCAGAATTTTACCTTTTCTTTTGTTGCTCAAGGGGGGAGGGGTGTTTAGTATTAAAACACGACTCACTATGCCCCCCCCCCCCCCATTGAGCAACATATCGGCCGGCACGATTTTCAAATTTCAGCACAATAAATTTCAAACTATTTCAACCCCCCCCCCTCCCCCCCCCCCCCCTTAGAAATCCTGGATCCACGCATGCTTAGACCCCGGGCTAATAAGCATAATATAATTTACTTATAACAGTTAACAACGTGATATGTATTATTATCCGTGTTGTAATTATGAATGTTGGATATAGTATACAGGAACTAAATTGTTATTGGTCCAAAGCACGTCACGTGATATTAATTGCGAGGATCGTAATAAAGATATTTCACTCCCGGTGATGAAAATATAACTCTTTGGGAAAATATAACTCCCTTCAGTGGTCCGAAAATGTTATATCATACGCCAGTCAAATAGGTTTTAGATTCCCTGCATATAACATACGCATTGATTCAAAAATATAATTTTCAAGAATTTTTCTCTATGCAAATCATGAATGGTACTGTTTGGTTGCGATATATATTCCCTTCAACCTTCACGCTAGCCTTACTAAGTTAACGAATAACACGTCAAGTTTGAACAAATTTAGGTACGTTCTCTCATATTTCTGATTCACTTTAGCACCATCCAACATTACAAATGTTAGGATTAATCCAGAAAGGACGTCTCCAACACGATTAGGATTCACCTGGCAACCTCTCAACTGTAGAAATGCGAATGGAGTGTTCTGGTACTACTTTGCAAGAATCTATAAAGATGGTCGTACAAGTAGGACATCGGCTGGGAGGACATACTTGGATGATGACTTTTCATTCTCATCAGTAGAGTTCAATGGTCTTGAGGCATGCACGATGTACGAACTGCATATCAATGCCGTCAACTATGATGTGGACTATGTTGGAAATCTGTCTCAAGCTATCGGTGTAACAGGAGTTACTTGTAAGTGTCGAATAGTACAGAGAGAATAAATGTTTTAATCACCCTTATGATGTCAGATTGCCTTGTTATGTTGACGAACTTCAATTAAAGGAATTTCGTTCCAAAACTGCATAGTTAAGTAATATTTGTGGGAAAGATCCACATTCTAATATAGTGATACCAAAGTTTCTTTGACTTTATATGTCAATAGGCATCGAGACAATAAAGAATTTCAGGTAGGGATAACTATACTTCCCAGTTACAAAGTGTCGTTTTTACAATTTTACATTTTCTCCCCATCTCAGTTATTACGTTTTATTAGGTGACATTAAATTCTTAACGTTTTCATAAAGAATTTCAAACATGAAAATGATAGTACGGGGAGGGGATTCTTAACTGAATACGTAAGCCTCTTTTTATTCAATATTTACTTACGTCATGCAATATATGCTGTATTAATGATAATTATAATTGACTATGGTTCAGATATGGACCCTGTATTGATTATAGATCTTACAGTTATCAAAAGTAGAAAAGGGTCCTGATAAAATTATAAGAAAATATAAACATATAACATCTGTTTCTTGTTGAACACTTGTCATGAGTCCATCGCAGTATGATGCTAAAGGCACCCCAATATATAATCTAGCTTTGGGCAGGCTTCCAATTCGTATGCTCACTGTAATCAAGAATACATGTCTGTTGCATAGAAAGAAAAGAAACCATGTTCAATGTTTACACAGATAGAAATGTATTTTGCTTCATCTGTAGGTACACAAAATTAAGCTCGCAAATCCATGAAAATGTAATGAGACGTTGTTGCAAGACTGGCAGGCGGTTCTCTGTGTTATGGACATAGGTTGGTGTAATATACGATATTTCGCAAGATTACAAATTAAAAATATTCTCTCTATTTGTGTTGAATATAGTCACAAGTGCATCCGCTTATGCAACTGGGAATCAACTTAGAGTTCAGTGGAGTGTTCCGTCTCAATGCAATGTGGATTACTACAGGCTATCATATCAGCTCATCTCACATAAGGCATGTCAAGATGTTTCTATAATAGATGCTCCAGTCTACGAACTCAACGTCACGTCAGCTTCCACAAATGTCTCCAAAAACCTTTCAAACTTGGAATATTATGCAACTTATAGCATCTCCATCGTAGCTGTGTTTATGACAGCGGAGAGCTTAAGTATGAATATTAGTGGAGACACACGAGATGGAGGTATATAAACAATCATGCTAATACTAGCGTTGGCGTATCTACGGGGGAGAGACGGGAGGGGGCAGAGTGGGCGCGTGCTCTGGGTGGCACTTCAGGGGGCGCAAAAAAAAAAAAAATTAGAGAAAGAGGAAAGGGATAAAGAGAAGACAGATAGACAGATGCGAAAGCTAATGTGGTTTGATTAGCAATGGCGCTTGTAAAATGGCGACTGGCTGGAATGCTCCCCAGGGAGTGGAGAATGTGCATACCTTGTGTGCGGGTAAGCATGAATCCGATGACCGGGGTAATAATATGTGCTGCGCCTAGAAACAAAGTATGAGGCGCATTGTAAATGTGAGCAATTATTATTATTATTATATTATTATAATGTAAACCCTCAATTTGCAGAATAAATAGCATTCGAAAAAGAAAAAATATCAAGGTTTTGAATGCGAAAGTTTCTAAAGCTTTGTCGCTTTGCTCATCGTGGAGGTTCCTTCAGGCTCCAAAATGTCGCACCCCAATATAAGACATATTCATGCAACTGCCTTTGCATGCTCCCTATTTTATAATTATCATCGGCCTCTTGTGAAATATAAGACAAAGGATAAATGAAAAACCGTATAAAGCGAATTGTAATTGTTGAACATTTGAAAGAAATCTTAAATTTTCCGGGATTTTAAAAACCATATTTCCCAGTTACGCCATGGAATACTAGATTTTCTAATGCATGACATGACAAGTAAGTCCCTTTAATAAACCACGTATCGAATCATTAGTTTGTCCTGGTGTTAACGCCTCCCCTCTATAGGTCCGTGAAGACAAAGGGCCTACTCCTTTTGTTGTCATGTTGGTTATTACGGACAGCCTTACATGACCCTTACGATGAGATTCTAAATTATAAGAAAAATATTGTTACTTTCCGTTACTTTAATAAAAGTCGCCTTCTCGCTGCACAGTTTGAACATCCGAAACATAAGGCACCTCTTGGCGAAAACAATCCTTTTATTGTAGACAAACAGACATTGAATTAAATTTAGTTTTCTCCTTTTCTCTTTTAAATGCATTTTTTATTCTTTCTCTTTGTGAATCATGAATTTCTCCTCGGTTTGAAAAAGACGAATTTCCGGTGGGTGACAACGAAACAAGTGCAAATTCAACAGGAAGATGTCCATTCAACACTACTCACGGTTGGTGTTCATTGGCTTTCATTTATTCTAATCCCAGGAGGTAGACGGGGAAATAGGTTAAATAGAACGACTAATATGACATTTTCCCAAAAGGTTTTTTTTTGTTCAGATATGGCGCAGTAAACCGCCGCAAAAAAGTCCCCAAACTGTTTCTTGAATAAAAATGAATTTAAGCGAGGCACACGTAGAAAATATTAACAGGAACCCTAAGCCCCCAGCCCTCCGACCCAATTAATATTCTAGATCCGCGCATGTTTTTGTATAGTTCCAGAATCATGAATTACTGGAGAAAATTTCAATCAGAGACAGTACTTCTTTTCTTGATTCATGTCTCCTCGTTTCTTCGTAATAATAATTTTTTTGCCAGTGTTCTTTTGATATATATATGTATATATTTTGTTTTATACCGAACAGCCAATGAACCCATTGGACGAGCTCGGTGCATCGGCGATAGCATTAACCAGAGCCAATGGCAACACGTGGATAATTGCGGACCATTTAGAAATGTCACAGATACTCTCACCAAAATTGCACAGGTTTCTGGAATTTTTCTTTTAAAATGTGATCATTGAAAAGAGGCTTTTTATAATCTTCATATACTATGTAAAGCAATTGTGTATATGTACCGCTTATATCTCTAACCTGAAAACAGTTTTTGTTTTGTTTTAATGGATAAATATATTCAATTCACGTTCCCTTCTTAATCAACTTGTTTGTGTTAGTGTACCCCTACTGTTCATTTGTCAACTATACAATCATGGATGTTAGGTAATGCATATCCCACAGTCCAACAATTCTACTGATTCAATTCAAAAAAGTATTGGACGATTCATAGTCGAGGCGGCAACATATTCACTGACATATTCATTGACAAAACTTAAATAAGAATAGTTGCAAAAAGCCTACTCATCTTCACTCTTTAACTCTTGATAAGGCATTAAAAACAGAAAATAGGTTAATATTGTAGAGTTTAATCATTCGATTGCATTTATAAGATGTTGGTCTGTTTAAAATCCTTTGAAAACAGTAAGCGATTATAACCGCCAAATTCACTCGGAAATTATCTACCGGTTCATGAGTTGTAAAATTAGATATTATGTGACACTCTTTTTTGTAATAATAAAGATGGTATACGGATAATGAACCTAAACATATATCATTTTAATATCAAAAGGGAAACATGTCCGCAAATTTTGTATTACCTTCATGAGGGAAAGTCAATCACTTAAAATGTACATGCTGTAAGATTTTTCCCCTCAAATTGTAGGTAATCGTAAGTGAAGAAAACGCAGGTGAAGTGAGCCAGCAAGTATTATCTGTTACTTCCAACATCGAAGATATCACATCAGATGACATCACGTTTGTGGCAGAGATAACATCACAAATTGTGCAGCAAAATCTTACAAGTGAAGAGGTATTCTGCAAGTTGACTAATCCTATTGAGCATGAATTAAGTTGCGATGGATGATGAATTTTATTTTGTTCCGATGATTATCTAAAGGGAAGAAAATTGGGGTCTTCCCTCCGATACATGTAAAGTTTTTTTCATAAACATGAAAGAAGTAAATCCCATAACCGTTTTTTCACAATATTGGAAGCCTTGAAGCTTAAGTAATGTGAATGAAGAATTTACCAGAGCCTTACCCTTTATCTGGCTCTTTTTTGGAACTTTAGAATTATATTTTATTGGTTTTGTCCCTGTTCTTTCATATCTTTCTGACCACTTGGCGGTTTCTCCTTCCAGAGGTGGCGTAACAGCTTCAAAATAACAGCTGTCATGTTTAACACTTTCGTCAGTCAGATTTCCGAGATTTGCCAACTTTCCGCAACTATGGTTGAAATAATGTTTACATTTTGTGTTTAATTTGACAGGTAACGGAGTCTATAACGAGTATTGCGAGCAATATAGCTCAGGTAGAAACAGAGGAACTTGTAGCTGCTGAGGAAGACGGTGGGGCAATAACTAAATTTGTCCAGGCTTTTGAGGAACAAATCAGTCGTGTTGAGGTTGCCGATGGTGAGATGCTCAACATTCAGAAGCCAAATGTAGCAGTACAGGTGATTTTAAATTATATTATAGACTTTGAACAAATAATTTGATCTTAACCAGGACTCTAACATACAGAACCATGTTATACATTATGTAATTGTTTGCATGGAGTTTCAAGAACAACAAAATCGACACTGCCATTCGTCCATTTGTGGTCTCATTCTATCCAACAAGGCGCAACACTCCTACCATTTTTCTTTATACTTTAAAAAAGATCTACCAAAACATCACCATTAGTTGTGCATTTATGTGTGGGGAGAGTGACGGGACACATCACATTTTTAGAGATATCACTTTAAAACATCTGCATTATAAATACTTCAGTAGAAACTGATGGATCATACGTAAATTAGAGGGAATTATATAGCCAATTCAAATAGAAACGTATTTGGATTATTTTTGACAGCTCAACTCATCTTCTACTACGAATCTGTCAAGGGGAATATTCCATAGCGAAGGTTCTCTTCCAGTGTACAAAATAGACATATTTTGTTAGTCACCTGGTCATTATGTTTTTTGGGGAGGATGGAAACAGGCCATTGTTTAATATTTTGTTTGACCTGTTCTTGTTTTGTAAGGCAGAGCCATAGGCAAATCGAATTGAAAACAAATCAAGTATTGAAGTTTTAATTCACATAACAGGTCCAGAGTGTACCTGCTGAAGATATCATGCGTGGTATCGTGCTTTCGCTAGCTGGATCCAGTTTGTCAGACCTGACCAAGTCTAATATTACCATCAATGCTCCGACCCAAGATGACCGCAATGACATCATCGCCCAGGTCAACATTCCATCTTCACTTTCAGGATCGCCATCAAATGGCAGTGGTGAATACGTCCGGGTCAGCTTCTATGTATTCTCGACTCCTGCCCTGTTCATTTCTAAGTCATTACGCACAATCAGTGCAGATAATGAACGCTTCAATCGATCGGCTAACTCGCCATTGATTTCTCTCAGTATTGGTCAAGGAAAAGTAGCAGCCTTGACCGAATTCATCAATTTTACCTTCACTACACTAAAGGTAAGACCTATATCAATGACATGGAATGGAAGGTGTTTCTTCATTATACGTACTTGTAATCTGCCTTTAGCAGTATTTATAGATAATACAATGTATGAACATGTATTCCGAGCCATTTTCTTTCTGTTTTAACCCCTGTGTTTGACACCCTCGTAAAAGGGCTTTTAAAGCCACACTGTTCTACCGACTTGTAGCTACTTGCTCCCTCTATATAGAAAACAATGCTTAATCGGTGAACATTCGTCCCCCATGATCCTCTTTTCCTTATGTTAATTGTGAGGTGAGTTGATCTTGTCCAGTAATCTTGCAGAGGGGGGTGGGGTCTAATCCCTCCTATAAACTGGTACAGATAAGCTATAAACTATACCAATCAAAATCATTGATCATTATTAATTATGGCAAGCTTTATCTAACAAATTTGATTATGGGTCTATGGATTATTTGCCTTTTGTTGTTGCTGTTGTATAGTCTGGATACGTGAATCCCATTTGTTCATTCTGGGATGAGGAGAAGGAAGATTGGTCTCAGGATGGATGTGTTCTTGTTTCTGGATTCGGATCATCAGATGATCGCTATGATGAGGAGGGTGTGCGCTGTGCGTGTGATCATCTTACCAACTTCGCTGTTATAATGGTCAGTGAAAAGCAATTTCGCAGTAATTATATCCGTTGCACCGGTCAACTACTCCCCGGACAATTTCCTCTGGACAACATTACCCGACTCACTAAACGCTTTTGGTTATACTAGATCTATAAGCAGTATATATTACGCCAGCGGTGATGCGAATGGATACGGCTCGAAGTTTCTTTTCAGACTGGTGAAAAAATACTACACGTAACAGGTATTTGGGGACTTATTCGACCTCGAACAGTAACCCTTGTACTTCTGAAAAAAATATAATATAAAGTTGGTCTTTAAATGGGTTGAATCATAATGTCACATGTTGAGATCAAATAAAATTTGAAGGTATGGACACTTGTGTAAAAATTAGTAAAATGATATCCTTTTCTTTTATCTATCAGTTATATGAATTTGTACCCTATTCATAAAAATATCCCCCCCCCCCGAAAAAATAAATAAAAATAAATAAATAAATAATAATAATAATTTTAAAAAATCTCAGTTTTCAATTAACGCCACAGAGACTTTATGAGAGCTCATTCCAAATATTCAGTTTCATTTGAGCATGAGAAGAAGACGTTTTATTTAGGGCTCAAATTTATTTTATGCTACAGGATATCCATAGACAGAAGGATTCATTAATCGAGGCATACAACATCCTGACTTACATTGGATGCTGTATTTCCATCTTCAGTCTTCTTGTCACGTTGGCAACCTACCTGTGGAACAAGTGAGCTCATTAACAAAAATGTGCAATTATTATGTAATTATTCTCTGGCCATTCTATCTTCGATTTAAGTTGGAAGCTTTTGAACAAAAAATGTAAACATATACCATGAAAGAGATTAATTTTTAGAATTTATTAAATAATCATGCGCATTTAAATATGTCCCCTTTGTATACAAATTATCTCAAATCAAATGATTTGTGAAACACGTGTACATTTGCAACACTGTTCTGTTTAGTATCAATAATGTACAGATCGAGATATACAAAAAAAAATTAAAAAAGGGGGAAGAGAAGGGGGAGGAGTGGAAGAAGAAGGAGAAGAAAAAGATAAACAGCCATAATATGATTAGGCTACTTCCTTCGTGATGTAGGGTTGAGCGACGAGGGTAATAAGTAGGTTACCATATTCATGTGTTAATATCAGTACCATATATTGATATTCTATCAATTTTGTAGATGAAATCCTCTGCTTCATGGTGTGAAGTTTTTATACAATAGGAATCACATTCATTTCGAACAGCTTTGGCGTACATATTTTTACAATTTGACATCGTCGTGAATAGTTACAACCAGATTGATTTTATTAAACACGAGTCACCATTCTGAGTGTTTGTGCCCAGTAGGAGAGATAATAAGTAGAGCAAAATCACGTAATATCCTTTATTTTACACACGCTTTCTACCTATTTTGTCTTTGCTGTTGTTGTTGTGTGACCTTTTTATTTTTCTGTGCTGGTGATGAAGTGATGGTAATCTTGTACATGCATGGTATAGTGTTGCTTTGATGCTTTCCTAACCTATTTTTAACGTTACAATCTTGATAGGGATTTGAGGACCAAACAGACTAACCAAATCTTCATCTGTCTGTGCTTGACCTTGCTGTGTCTCTACACGACATTTCTCATCATGATCTCTCTGGATTCTATCAGAGATTATCGTGAGGTCCAAGCTGGACCCTGTGGGTTCCTGACGGCCCTAGTTCACTACTTCGTGTTGTCCTCTATTGCATGGATGGGTGTGGAAGGGTACAATACCTACCTCATCCTTGTGAAGATCTTTAACACCTACATCCAGAATTTCATGAGCAAGGCCTTCTTAGCTGCATGGGGTAGGGTATTTGTTTCCTTCAAATATTTTTTCCTGAAATAGTGCGTGCTTATGACATGAAGTGCCTGTTTTCTTCTTTACATATTGAAACCTTCGACCAACTTGTTTGAGCTTATACATGTAGGTACTGAAAGTATCCATAGAAAATGAGTTTGGCAAGGTGCGAAAACCTGCACTGCTGCGACCAACCTTCCGCAATCTAAATAATGATGAATGGGTGATCAAAGGAATTTTTTTTTATATCAATATAACAAAGGACATTTTTATTTACCTGTTTTTTAATAAACAAAATTAATTAAACAAACTCTAGAAGGATAATATATTAATTTCGCCATGCTAACTGAATGGTCATTAATTATGGAAAGATCACATTACGACTGACCATAGTCCAACAGGCATCAACTAATAATGCACATGAATTAGTCAATTTTGCCATCTATGTGTAAATTCTTCATTAATATTCTCGGCATGGCATGTGATTTATACATAGAAGAATCTAGACCCCCAAAAGTTTAATAATCGCGATATCTAATTCATTACACACAAAATTGTGTGAGCTGGATAGCAAACCGATATCATGAGTAGACATTTTGAAGAAACTAGGAAAGGAATAAGTTATAGGCCCATGTCCAAAGTAGCCGTATTATGAATGACTTAAGAATTTATTTTTTCCTCATACACGTATGTCATTTCAGGAATTCCTGCTTTCATCGTGGTTCTAACTGGAGCTATTGCTAGAGGCTCTTATGTTCATGATGATATGTAAGTGGTAATACTTGAAAGTTGAGCTAGAATATTGGATTGCATAGCATATGGTATACCTTAGTCAGATTCAGCAAAAATCATATTTCTGTAATTCAATCTACTTTACAGACATTTGGCATTTTGGTATCTCATTAAGTATGCATTTATGATCTAGAATATGTATCAAATTATCACTTTCGCGGGTATGTGTTGTGATCCAAGCTCTAGAAAGGCCACCAACTTTAATACAGTTAACACATATACTAAAATCTCAGATATTTTTGGTAATGGATGGGACAACAAAGCTTGGACTTGCCAACAACAAAAAATAGTTTAGTTCTTGTATAGAGCATAAAACGTTAAGAAATAGCATCTCTATGCGCTTCCAAACAGCTTTGGAAATTATTACCCTTTTACTATAATGGGAAATAATGTAGTATTAATGACTGCTTTGAGAGAAATAGATACTTTTATATGCCGAAAAAAAAGTAAACATATGACCCCACCTTGGCCTTTCTCTAGTTTATCTGCACGGTTGTTTTTATGACTATGACTGAGTGTATCTTTAATAGTAGACTAAATCTAGATTCTAGTCTAAGGATGATATTTTTACAATTTTTGGGGTGGGCCGGCCCTGTGGGAAATATGGAGAAAAAACTGCTCTTTCATATGACACATCACTTATTGAGTATCACCTTCAGGATAACGAGCAATATTAGTTTGAATCTCATAAGTGCGCAATGCATAGGGATGTGTGCAATCTCTATAAGATTGCACACATCCCTATGCATTGCGCACTCATGAGAGTATATGGGAAGGATTTTAGCACTACTACTAGATCTATTTTCAATATATTATGGAGAATTTGACCTACCCTTTTGATGTTCTTGCTGACTTGCTGACAGCAAGTCTTGCATTTGATCATCATCAAGAAGTATACATCTTGGGAGAGTTTCTTCAGCCATTTTTTCCCGAGAATGCCGTACTACTGTCGTTTGCTCTGTGCTGTGCTGTATTAACAATATCGACCAATTCTTCGCACACGTACGGTATCCTCGATCGCTCAAACCAGTTTTTAACATGTGAACCTATGGGTATCTCACCAAGACTGAACTTTTTTCCTGGTAACCATGGTAACTGGAATTTTGCCGGGATTTTAGAACTATTATTTTAGAACTATTACCTGGGTTTGGAATTTTAGCGGGAATTTTACAGGAATAGTTAAAGTTTATGAATGCAATTTCGACCAATCAGATGGCTGGATTTCTTAAGTGAGGTATATAATGAACAATGCCAATTGACAGTTGAATTGTTTTAAGGACCATGGACATTTCGTTAAACTATCACTATGATAGTCAGTACTGATTGATTTAATTAAGTCACTTTACAAAATGCAAACTTACTATCAACAGATGCTTTCTACAATTCTGGGCTCAAATCGGTGGTCTCCTGATTCCCATGGCCATCATCCTCCTCATCAACATTGCCATCTTCATTCTGGTGGTTCGACAGTTGCTCCGGTCAGCCAACATCGCTGGTCGGGTGAAAAGAGAGTCTAAGGTAGAACGTCGAGAGACTATCGAACGCGTCCAGAACGCGATCTGCATCTTGCTCCTGCTCGGTCTGACCTGGGTCACTGGATATCTTCTCTTGATCCCGTCATTCAGTCAGGTAAAGCCAACTAGCTTCAATAATAACTCCTGTGTGGTATCTGTCTCTTCTAAGAAATATCTTGAAAGCTCAGTTATGATAATTAAACACACCAGCAATACCTCTTTAGATGTTTAGTATCTGAAGAATTTGAGAGAAAATGCCATCATATACCTAATCATTATTTCTGAAACATTTGCGTTTAACAGGTGGCTCAGCCAATCTTCGTCGTCCTGAACTCCTTCCAAGGATTGTTCATCTTTCTACTCTACTGCGTCCGGAAGCCTCACATCCGTAAGAAATGGGGGCTAACTTGTTTCGACAAGTTGCTAAAGAACGGGGCAAGCACTTCCAGCGGTGTGGTGACCTCGACGGCGTCATCCTCGTTAGATGGCATGGTAAGCAAATTGCGCCCAGGAGCTTCGGGTAATTACTTGCTGCCTACCAAAGCCGACCATCCCAATCCTATGTGTATGTTCAATCCGACCTATGATATCAGCCAGATTGAGGAAGGGGTCACACCACCTATACACAAAGATATCCAGAGCTCCACCGAGGACCAGAAAAGGGACACATATCGTGATGCAAACACTGATGTCGTGACGGTAAGTCTCCCTCTTGATGCATCTCTCAGAGGTGATGATGTTTCCTCCACCACGAATGCTGACACGATCAGTGTTACTCTGGATTTGACTGATGTCAGGAAAGCTACTTAGGGCAACGGTGATTTTGCTTCCACCAACAATGATGCTCCTGTTAGTCTCCCTAAGGATGCCGCGGATGGCACCATGCACAACGAGAGGAGTGATGATGTTGCTTCTGCAACAAGTGATCAAGCCGTCAATCTTCAAATGGATGCAACAGACGTCAGCAAAGGAAATTAGAGCAGTATCATAGAGGCTGTTCACACCGGCAGAGATAGCGCGCGCTAGACCGCGCTTTCTCTGCGGTTTGGAAGGTACAACGTCGTTTCGGTCCGCCCAACAGCGAGCCACGGCGAGCCAAAACGGCGTGCCACTGGAGCACCTCTTGGGGGTGGTCCACGAGAGATAGCGCGGTCTAGCGCGCGCTAGAAAAAAGGGGGTGCTACGATAGACCGCGCTAACTCATTGCGGTGTGAACAGCCTCATAGATTCCATTGGCACCACCAATTTACAACGGCCACTGGCTCAGTTGAGGTTTTGACTATAGCGATGCATTCATTTTTACTGATTAAAACAAATATGCTTATCCATGTAAGCCATAAGAAGGTCTTATTGAGAGAGTATGATCTTGTTTTAGCATACTAGGCAGGGAAGGGGTATGGTGGGCATCAGCTATATCCACTCTTTCTCCGAGCATATGGCAATTACCAATATTCCGTCACCACATACTCGGGAAATACGTAATGTAGTATAGTAGAATGGTTTTTATTAGACAAATTCAAAATGGTAGCCCGAAAGCTAAATTACATTGCAAGTTTTACAAGTATTAAAAAGCATTTCAACAAAACTTAGATATAGACAAGTACACATAATACACAGTCGGGTAGATCATAACTTATAACTTGTTCCCTACTTGCAAACAAATTGATGATACAAATAGAACAGATTCGGCATTATTATTATTTCTGTAATCATTGCTAAGTGAGGAATATTCATATTTTAAAAAGAAATTGAGGCTGATTAATTGAGTTAAAACAAGTAAGTACTGAAGATTTGTTTAAAAATTTCGAACGGTAATGCACATTGAATGTCTATAAAGGTACACACTCTATACGGATTTATCATAGACACATGATTAAACAATTACCGAAAGGAAGAAATCAGGTCAGGGAGAGAACGATGTAGAGAGAGAGAGAGAGTTAAGTTAGAAAGAAAAACAGGAATACATGCGGAAGATGGGAGAGGGAGAGAGAGATAGGGAGGGAGTGGAATGAGAAGAATGGAACAGTTGGAACTGTGAAGACATGGAGGAGAGGAATGATGATGAAAGTAAAACGACAAAGAGAAAGCGATTAGAAAGAAATTACAAAGTAAATTACAAAGTAATTTGTTATATCTATATTGTATTTTATTGACGAAATTATATATCTTCATTTATTATGGTAGTTTATCGAAGTATTAATGACCATATACATTTGTTTTGATGATACTTTGTGGTGTATTACTCAGAGAAGAGGTCTTTTTATTTTGGGGGAAAATATGTTAAGATGATGGTGCGATGATATTTATTCTTAGTCATTTTTGTAACTGATTTGATAAACATGTGTACTTCGAAAGGATATTAGAAAATAAAGGTTGCGTAGCTTAAATCGAAGTTCCCAAATTTCTGTCCTCTTTTTTGTTGTTGACAGTTTGGCAGAGGTTGAAAAAACTGTTTCCATGCGGAATCGAACCGGGTTACTGGCTGAAAACGCCAATGCCTTAACCCGCCCCCCCCCCCCCCAATCAGTGTTATTTAAGGTACGCGTATGCTCGTTCCCTCTTTTTGAAAGCACCCCCTATCTGAGGACTGCCAACATTTCCGAACCCCCCTTTCGCGGGCTTTTTGCGGGCTTTTCCTGCCTTGGAGACCCCCCTAAATACGAAAAAAATCTCAATGTACCCCCCTAAATTCGGAATAATTTCTCAGGAGTCCAAAGAGATGTTACTCCATCGCTTAGAGAACGACTTCTCCATCACCGGCACCGTACTTCAATGGATTCGCTCCTATCTCATGCACCGAACTCAGAAGGTGATCATCAATGACACCAACTCGGAATCATTTCCCCTCATCTGCGGCGTTCCTCAGGGTTCCGTGGTCGGCCCCCTCCTGTTTATTCTTTACACCAGCCCTCTCTCAAATGTTATTAACCTTCATCAGAATATTCAACACACTATGTATGCAGACGACACCCAGATTTACGTAACTCTTCACCCAAACAGCAGGACAGTAGCCGCGAACAAACTCACCAGTTGCCTCAATGAAATCAAAACCTGGTCTTTTCAAAACTGTCTCTGCCTTAATGATTCAAAATCTGAAATGATTCATATTACTTCTAAATTTCGGAACTCAGACCCCTTTCCTGATCTTGTTATGAGTGATGGCTCTCTCAGTTGTTGTGCTTCTGTGCGTGACCTTGGTTTAAATATTGACAGCAATCTTACTTTCAAACAACACATTAGTAATATTTGTAAGTCTGCTTCCTTTGGTATATATAAGATCAGTAGAATCAGGAGGCTACTTGACCGACCCACAACTTCAAAATTAGTCCATGCTTTTGTCTCGACCCATATCGATTACTGTAATTCTTCTCTTTCTGGCCTCCCTCAGTCACATCTAGTCCCACTTCAAAGGGTACAGAATAGCGCTGCTCGGCTTGTGACTCTCTCGCGTAAATCAGAGCACATAACTCCAATATTGAACTCACTACATTGGCTTAAAATTCACCACCGCATATCCTTCAAAATTCTTCTCCTGTGCTACAAAGCTATCAATGGCTTAGCCCCCTCTTACCCTTCCGATCTCATATCCTTACGTTCCCGTACGTCGTCACGAACACTTCGTTCATCTTCCACATTACTGTTAACACCTGGACCCCGCACTAACACCCGGTATGGTGACCGCGCCTTTTCAGTTATTGCCCCCGCTCTCTGGAACAAACTGCCCGCCTTTATTCACTGCGCCCCCTCTGTATCTCAATTCAAATCTCTACTCAAAACCTATCTTTTCAAATTGTAAATTGCAGTTGTGCGTCGGTCAATGGAGGTGCGCACCATATTTGTCTTTATTTAGTTGATTGCCACTGTTTTTCTTACCTTATCTATGTTACTTTTGTATTTTTGCTTTTTCTTCTAATTTAATTATACGGGTTATAGTCTTCTCTTAATCAGAACACTGTGCGCTTAGAAACATCAGTATTAAGCGCCTAATAAATGTTATGTATTATTATTATTATTATTATGAAAGAAGAAAAAAAGAAAAACACCCCCTTTTTAAAGAAATCTCCGGGTGAAAAGTCAAATACACCCCTTTTTTTTTTACAATTCTCAGGCCGGACTTTGTCGCACGAAAAGTACCCCTTTACCGGACATTTTGGTAACACGCATGCGGTCATTCCGACCCCGGAGTGGGGGGGGGGGGGGGGGGGGGGGTTTGCCTTAAACACTATACCACAGAGACGGGCCAGTAGCTTCGGCTACACACATATTCAATTGACAGACAGATTGACCAATCTCTAAACTTCATTTATTAATTCCTTTGTTGGGGGCAGGCGAGTTTTGAACAATAAAAAGCCGCTTGACTCAGTTCGATCCAAGCAAAATGCTTTCAGATTCACGTATAGCTTAGAATAACTGTAGACAGATGTAAATAACCTCTACAACCGCTTTGGCGACTTTCTTGGAAAAATATATATATTCATGTATAATAATACAATGTGTCTGTTTATGTATTGTTTGTATACAGATGTGTTTATGGAATTCATTGAATCATGACCTAAGATCCAGTTTTATAATTAACAGATTTAAATCGATGTACTAAAAAGATATTATTCAAAGACTGATATTTGTTGGTGAGTAAGTACTTCTCGTTCATTTTTGTTAAATACTTTTATTTAATTCTTTCTTATTTTTTATCCTTTCTATTCTTTCTGCAAAACCGTCTGTATGAATGTGTTTATGTAGGTTTGTATAAGAGGCTGGTATTATGCAAGTCTTTAACATTTTATTAATTACGTTCATTGTCCTATTTTTGTTTGTTAATGGGCCCCGATTACAAGCAATTTTGCTTTATATTGTCTTTGTAAAATGTGTTATAAAGTTGAATAAATGCTGAATTGAATGTATATATTGATAATTACATTTATGTTTGAGGCCTAGAATCTTGACATGCGGTATATAAAATTCTTATCTGTTGATTACATGAATATACATCCAATTTATAAGTCAGCATTTAATTTTATGCTGAGAAAGAAAGTTACCCACAGTTAATCTAATTTTGCTGTTGTATTTGTAATGCTTTTTAAATGTTAATAAGCTGGATGAAGGAAAACAAAAATGTTTTGAAAGAAATGCGTACAAATGATGACAAAATACTGCCCTTTCGTGCAACTTTGTGTCATTCGAGTAGGCCTACTATTGAACCAACACAGAAATGATTGGTACTAGCTGAAAGAGAGAGAGAAAGAGAGAGAGAGAGAGAGAGAGGGGGGGAGAGGGAGAGGGAGAGAGAGAGAGAGAGAGAGAGAGAGGGGGCGAGAGAGAGAGAGAGAGAGAGAGAGAGAGAGAGAGAGAGAGAAGAGGGAAAGCCAGGTGTAGTGGTCCACCTCCACAATCCTTTACTTATACCGGAAGGAGAGACCGGGGATTACAGTGATTTAATTCACTTCTTCCCTCACAGGCACACGCTAGTTTTCCGGAGGGGGAGGGGGGGGGGGGGGGCAGAAGAACAAATATTTGCATCACTACCACTCTTACATGTTTCATGCAGGCCCCGCGAAAAACAAAATCAAAATGGGGGGGGGGGGGGGGGGGGGGGGGCTACGATCGAGTGGAGCGTAAATTGACGTGGGGTCTACGAGTAAAGCCCTAGGTGGGGTCAAGGGGGCGGACCCCAGAAGCTCAGGGGTTTGAGGCATTTAATAACGGTCAGATGAGCTTTTAATTGTTGATACTGTAACACTAGCAGATCGTCAATTGGCGTGGACTCCAGGGGGCCGGGAGCCCCAGGAAGATCAAGTTTTTTTTAAGGCACTAGATTACGGTCAGATGAGCATCCAGGGCCTTTGGTGGAGTCCAGGGGGCATATAGCCCTCTCCCATAAAATCGGGGGTGTTATAGTAATAGTAAACCAAAATATATTCAAGTTTATTTTTAGAGTAGTATTTATTCATCTTCATTTATTCAGTCATAAATATTAATAATCATAAAATGAGTAGACCTTATTGGTGCATGGTAGACGAAATGTGTTTTTCTTTTGCAGTGGTGGCGCTTCAGCAGGAAGGGGGGGGTATTTAGCACTTAATATAATTTTTTTTATTTTTATTTTATGTCCCCACTCGATCCCCTATTTTTCTTTTTGCCAGATCCACCGGGCCCCTACCCCCTCACTAGATTCGCCACGGGGAAGTCCACCCTGATATCAAGTTGGTTTTAATAAAAGCAGAAAATGAGAAGAAAAAAAAACAGGTCAGTAAAAGTTGAGACAAATATGATTGTCATGGAGTTTTTTTTCTTTTTTTCTCGAATTATAGGACGTTTGGCTTGCCATAAGTAATGCTTATGCTCAAATTGTATGGACAGCTGAATGATTTGACGAGAGTCAAACTCGACTTTGGGCAAGAAACTGATCCATTTGAAGTAAGTGTATCCATTCAAATAAAGCCTAATTAAAGGAATAATGTTAATGTGCTTACAAATCAAATGTTATTCATTGATAGTGTAAACTTAAGTATTTAGATCGATATTATAGACCTAGATCTAGTTCTAAAATTAATTATTCGCTTCCGTTTTGGATAGCACCGGAAGCGAGGCCAACGCCAGGCGAGCGAGGGGGAGGAAACCCAGGCCAGGAAGCCGGGCAGGGAGCTCCGACGGCCGACGCGACCCAAAGGCGTCGTGTTGCAGTCGTTGACTTAGTCAGTAGATGTACAGTAGGCCTATTTGTTATATATTTTTAGTGCACTTTTTCAAATTTTTCTGGGGGCACGATCCCCCCGTCTCCCTCGCGGGATCGCCGCGCCTGCCCTGCCCGTGGTCGCGACCGGTCAATGCATTGCCCTGTCTATGATCCATGCCATGTATGGGGTGACTGTAGAATCTAGGCTAAACAAAATTGCTGGGTTTTTCTCACATTCTGAAGTTCTTGAAGTCAAGAGGTTGCCCTAATTAATTATAAACACACATCAATAAACCTGATTAAAGAATGCAACCTCTGGAATGTGGTTTTCGAAAAGTCAGGCCAAAACTGGCGGTTATTGCTTGAAAGTGGATCGTAAATCACTAAATGCTTGCTCTCAAAACAACATGGCCGGGCATCGTTTCATGACAAAGTCACCAAAATCCCATTGAAATGTGTGTTAAAATGAATACATGCGTTTGGGTTTTAGCAGGAATATGTTTTAGTAGGGTATCTCCACGCCGGAGTTACGGGTCAAATTTTGGAAAGGTTTCTGAACAAGCGCCTAATGTATTTGCCGTTGATAATGTCGCAGCGCAACATAGGCCGCACCCTCAATTTTGACATTAACAACAACAAAAAAAAATGAAAAAAAAAAATGTCAGGGGCGGGATATGAACCCTCCCCTACAAATGTAGATGTGATGCAAATCACCGCCTTACACCGCTCGGCCATCCCGGCCCTGATGCTATCTCTTGCAGCTTTCTCTTGTGTATTGTGCCTTGGCTTTGCTCGCGCGAGCTAGAGGATTGAGGTTGCTTAAGCTATGGCAAAAACTAAAATTAAGATCTACCTGTAGAGTTTGGTTGGTAAGTTATGAATTTTATTTACGAGATTGACAAAACTTTGCCCTTCATTTAAAAAAATATAACATTTAATTGTCGGTATGACATGTGATACATGTACTCTAGACAGTTATTCTAGAAATGTCCATCACCTTTCATTATTGTCCTACATGGATGTGTTCAAATTTGTGTTTTTGACTTGCAATCTTTTTTTTTTTTTTTACTCTTTTGCCGCAAAGGCCGCACCCTGACTTTTTGATATTTTCTCTTCCAAAAATACTGCGGCCTTTACGCCGGCAAATATGGTATTATCTTATGACATTGAGTGACTGGAAGACAGTGATAGCCAATAAGAAGTGCCCTAGCTTGTTGGCGTCAATTTTGTAAAATGAGATTGGAATTCGCTGATTGGATGAAAGTTCTGTGGATGTGCTAAATGTATTCGCTAAAGTTCTATGTGACAAGCAAATCGTGCATACACACTGCGCTTACCCCCCCCCCCCCCCCCCCCCCAACAAAAAAAAAAAAATAAAAAAATAAATAAATAAATAAAATAAAAAATAAAAAAATGAAATAATAATTATAATGTTTTCATGACAAGCAAAGACTAATTGATGGCTTTATACCATTTATTCCTGTAGCATTTAAGTAGGCCTACATGAAGGTGTCAATAAATGGATTTAACACATTGTTTTGTTGTTTGTTTTTAGGTGTTATTAGTATTTTTTTCCGTGTTAATTTACTTTCTTTCCCTTTCTTTATTTTCAGTGTAAATGTTGCATGTGCCTGTTGTAAATAGAAAACAACAAACACAAGACGGATGATACAATGTCGGCGCAGAACCCCGATGACAACGATGTTGCTGCTCCTGTGCTTCACCGCGCAGAAGAGTCACTTGCCAAAAACAAAGGGACGTTCAATGCAGACAGAGCACGAATGAGGTGAGAAATATATTTCAGTATGCTTCTCCCTTATTTCTATAATTACAGACAATTGTTTACTTTCTAGATTACGTTGTAATTTTTAAATGTACTTTTTATATTCATGTTGTTTGGCGTCTGCTCACTATTCTTATGGACCACTATTCATAAGGACTGCTACTCATGATTTGAGAAAAGGGTCATTATTTATAAATCTAAAAAGAGGGCCGCTATTTATAATACAAAAAATATGTACACTGTATGCTGTACGTATTATGAATAGCGACCCTTGTGATTAATGACCCTCAATTTGAATAGTGACCCCCTTACTTTCACATATAGGAAGTTATGTGTTATGAATAGCGGTCCTAATGACTAGTGAGGTTACACCTATTCCTTTTTTTGGGGTCCTCATTTAAGCCTTTATTTTGCCTCCACAAGACCTAAAGGTGTTCCAATAAAGTTCAAGAAACTTAATAATGTACACGTCAGAATAAAGCAATTATTTCAGCTGTATTTAAGAGCATATCTGTTGCACACGATTTTCGAGCTTAACTTTCAAAATACCTTTATTGATATATGTTAAGTAGTAAGTGAAAACTGAGAACTTTCATGAATATTAATTACTGGTACCATTTCCATTCTTTTCATGTCACTACATTTAACTAATCTATCGCACATGTATACTTTCATTGGGTCTCTTTATTTCATTCATAGATATTTAATTTCTAGAATGCCCTTTTCTTTGTGACATTTCTTACAGGTGTTCAGTCAACAAGTCTAGCCCTGCCACAGGCACACAGCATGGGGATGAGCTTACCGAAGCACTGGACCTTACCCAGCCCCCGCAGCGAAAGGATCACCTAGGCAGCCTCAAACATGGAATGCTTGACAGCAAAGGATCAAAACATTTTGAAGATCAACAAAATGGCCTTGATGAAGTTACAGACAGCCCCTTGCGTACAACGCTCACTATCAAACAAGAAAATAATCTGGAAGGCTGGGGTGAAGAACAAAATGACCTTGATGAAGTTCCAGGCAGCCCCTTGCATATAACGCTCAACATCAAACAAGAGACTAATCTGGAAGGCTGGGTTGAAGAACAAAATGACCTCGGTGAAGTTCCAGACAGTCCCTTGCATACAACGCTCAACATCAAACAAGAGACTAATCTGGAAGGCTGGTGTGAAGAACAAAATGACCTCAATGAAGTTCCAGACAGCCCCTTGCATCCAACGCTCAACATCAAACAAGAGACTAATCTGGAAGGCTGGGGGGAAGAGATTCATCGAAAGCACCCACCACTACAAGAAGAGATTCCCCACCGCCCTCTCCACAAGACACTAACAACAAACAGACGTAAGCAGCATGTCCAAAGGGACAAGTTTGGTCAGGTGCAGTATCATAGAAACGATCCTCTAGTTCAAGGGGAGGTTCCCAGCTGTCCTCCGCACAGGTCAGCCAAAGCCAAAGGGCACCATCAAGATAAAGATAAAGACCTTGAGGGAGATCTAAGTCACCACCTGCAAAGGGACACCGTTGACAGTCCCCTGCTGAAGATACCCAAGGTCAGAACCAAAGCAACACATTTTCAGGGCCAAAGCTCTGGAGTGGCCAGAGATCAGATCTTGCAATCTAGCTACACACACAGAAAATTGAGAATTCCAAGACTTGACAAAATTGTGAACAAATTGCGAACTGTGAACGAATCCAAGGAAGCGTCAAGTTTAGTACCTGATAAAGACTCCTTCCTTCTCGGTAGGTACATTTTAATTGTTGCATGGTAATGATATTGTATGCAAAGTCACCAGTCTTTTCAACTCATTGCTTACGTGAACCGTGTTGTCCCTGTATTAAGCCTGTGAAGATCAGAGAATTCAGTAGTCAATGGGATATCATAATGCTTAAGGCAACTGTTCAAGACTACATGTACATGTATGTACATTAGGGAATTCATTTGCCTCTTGTAATTTGTGTACAGCTAGAAATATTTAAATTCAACATCAAATTATTGTACCTGACATTCTATGACATTGGACCGGTGTGTTGGCTCAGTCAGTAGAGCGTCCGCCTCACAGCCGGGAGGTCGTGGGCTTGAACCCCGGCCGCGTCATACCAAAAGACGTTAAAAGACAGGAGTTGCTGCTTCGTTGTTTGGCGTTCAACAATAAAGGGATAGAGCAACGTCGATCTGGCGCTGCTCAGTGGCTGCCAGGCTCACGATCAAAAGAATTTCCATTTTCGATTTAACATAATAAAATTTAGGGTTAAAAAGAGTACGGTATGAAGAAGATAAAGAATAACATTAACCTGTGCACAAAACCAAAGTCGAACTTGAGTTAATTCTGATCAAATGATCAAGAAGTGCCTCCAAAAAAAAGTTTTACCATACTCGTTTTCCTTGATGGACTGTGTTATGAAAACGCAAACACAAAGTTTGGATTTGATTTCCAATCATAAATATCTTAATAATCAGACAGGCGATCGACTTGTAAAATTCACGGGGTTCCTGACTGATCTAAAGGTTTATAATTATCATTGCAGCATGATCAAAATCCAGGATTTTGTATCAGAATCTGAGTCAAAGTTTAATACTGGATCCCTTTAAACCACACTGCTAATAATCCAAAATCTTTATTTTTTCAGGCGCTGATGTGAATGTTAGTGCAGAGGCGTCCTCCAGCAGTAGAGCGACAAAGGGGATGCTATCTGGTGGCTCTACAGATGCAGACAACTTTCTTAATCCTGCCCCACATGGGCACCGGAGCCAACCAAGTGGCTTCCATAGCAAAGAGAGGGTCGGAGCATCTATATCAAGCAAAAAGAAACACCGTTCTAGAAACATGCCTCTCGTAAAGAAGACTGAAAAATCTGTTGAAAATGATCTATTGAAGAAGAGATGTTTGGTGGTGGAGAACCTGGTGGTGGGGGAAGCCTTTGTTGCTTCTGCTTCTGCTGGTGGTGATCTTGTCCTTGAGAGGGCGTTGCCTCCTGGGCAGCAGTGTGCCTTGTGTAAGGAATATGTTTCTCATGCAAGTCTCAACAGCCATCGATGTAAGGTGGGTGTCTCAGGGACAAAGCAGCCTCTTCTCGATGGAGAGTTCTCAGGTAAATCTCATAACCAGAAATCCTATCAGTGCAAGGTGTGTCAGAGACCACTAACTGAGGACAATGGCGATGGTACGAAGCGACTCGTATGTAGGGAATGTGCAGGACGAATGGACCAAGGCGAGAGTGTCGATGTCTCAGGGGATGTAGTCCGGGGCATTCACCAATGTGATCGATGTGAGCAATCCTTCAGCAGTCGCTCAGGTCTTAGCCTACACTTACTGAGTCACGTCGAAGTCAAGATGCACGAGTGTGACGAGTGCGACAAGACTTTCAAAACACAAGGCAAGCTGAGGGTACATAAACGCATACATGCTGGGCAGCCTCCACACCAGTGTCACATCTGCGACCGGACCTTCGGTAAAGGCAACACCCTCGTTTGCCACATGAGGACACACAGTGGGGAAAAACCTTTCCAATGCGACCTTTGCGATAAATCCTTCACACAGAACAGCGCGCTCACGGTTCATAAACGTATCCATTCGGGCGAGCAGCCCTTTAGTTGCGAGCTCTGTGGCAAAAACTTCCGGGATAAGAGCAATCTTCGTAGGCACGTTCGCACCCATAGCGGAGACCAACCGTTTGAATGCACCGTGTGTGGCAAGCGCTTCAGCACCAAGGACCACATGAACACGCATTTTCGCATTCACACCGGGGACAGGCCATACCATTGCAGCATGTGCGACAAGGCATTCACACAGAGTAGCACACTTGTTGGTCATATGAGGACACACACGGGAGAGCTCCAGCTCAGGTGCGATGTATGTGGCAAGAAATTTAAGGACAGGAACAGCTATTCTACCCACATGAAACTACATGCTGAAGACAGCAATTGAAAATCTACATTTTCCAGCACTTGAAAACTGTGCCCATTATTTTTGTTACCGATTACCCCCTTTCCAATGCATGTTAGTTCTGAATCTCCTTCCCCAACCCCCCCCCCCCCTCCTCCTCTCTAAAAGAGAATTACATGTATATATTGTAACATCCTTCCTTTAGTTTGCTACCCATCCCTTTTTCGTACAATGAAAAAATCATGCATTTGGTCCTTCCCCCCCCCCCCCATCCCCCCTGCTCCCATCCCTCTTCAATTGAACACCTTAGTCAGTAGCTCTAGCTCCTTTTCTATCCCCCTTTCCCCCTCCCTAATTCGGAATTCCTCAGGAAATTGTATACTCCAGAGCTAAGATATATACTATAGTGTACATGTATTTTTTGTGAGTTTGGGCTATTCTTGAAATATCCTAGCATTGACTCTCAAAAGCATGTAGAATATTATTGCATCAATTTAAAAATGATTCCACACACATTAAATCCACACTGTATTAGGAGCACTACCACAAAAATCCCCTGCAGCATCATCTCAGGTCAGCTGTAGCAGTATGGTCCTGTAACTCGCTGCTTCCCTCCCTGCGCTGTTGGATCTCGCATCAAGTCCTCTGTCTGCAAAGTGGGAGTTACTAATGGTTTACGCACTGTTGGCAAGTTGACCATGAGATGGCACTAGGGGATAAACAGTACGATAGGGCAGGAAGTTAATAAGTTCTGTATCACTTTAAAGCCTGTCTGTGCTAGTTAAGCCAGGAGGGATAATACCACCCAGCGTAGTCACTGACAGGTTATCTCATCAACTCGGCTCTCAATTAACATAAGAAAAATAGGATCATGTGGGACCAACAGGCACCACTTCGGTATTGTTTTCTATATGGAGGGAGCAAGTAGCTTCAAATAGTGCAGTGGGGCTTTAAGGCACATATGTAGTTTGGGTATTTGTAGATGGCTCACAAGGCTGACTGACGATGTTGATCTCATAGGCTCTTTAACAGATTTGTTTTAAATTACACCATACCAACAATTTTTAATCTTCACTAATGTATCTTGCCATTTTGTTGGTTCTGTTGGAACTGTCTTCTTTTCTGTATTTTCTTTCTATATCTGTACATGTATTGTAATATTTGTAAAAACATACTGGATTGAATGCACCATCATGAGGAACATTAAAACCATACCAGACAGGAATGCTGATTTGATCTGCTTTTTAACCCCCCCCCCCCCCTAGATTGGTAACACTTGTATTGTATGTTGATCTGTTATTATTACAAATACAATGAATTTATATCATGAAAAGCATACATAGAACAATGTAATGAAGTTGACATTCTTTTTCAGGGTATTTTAGAGTTTTATTATGAACTTTTCAATGGTTACCCATTGAAGATTTATGGTATGGTATTTTTCTACTGTTGTATAAAGAGATAAAAATGTAGTTGATCCAAACTTCTAAATTTATGGCAGTCCTCTCAATTCCATCTTGGTTAATACATTTATTTCCTACTTGTGAGTTTCAATTTATACCAAAATTTAATCAAACCAACTTTTGTTTCAGTTATAAGTGGAACAATTTCAACTCTTTGAAAGATACATGTAGCCCTTTTCCAAATACATTGAGGAAAAATGAAATTATACAAGTTTGGGTAATTCTGTATTGATACAAATCACAAATTGATGATCTGTATTATAGGCAGAACAAATGTACCTTATTTACCAAATAATCCTATGCTTTTGATAACATTGTGCAATAGAGCCTGTGAACATATTCAAAATTTTCTGTAGAAATATATTTTTTCTGAGATTGTCACAGATTATGTAAGCCCTCTTCACCCACCTTTTCTCTTTCTTCAATATGTGTAATATTTATTTAGAAATATAGTCATGAGGTTGTCTCATCAACTTTATTTTAGCTATGCCAATCATCCCTGATGGGGCCTGTTTCATAAAACTTGTTATGAATAATAAATGCTAAATTTCTATGGCAAATTTTCTCTCAGCCAATCACAAGCCATGGTTTCAGTAGCTTATAACAGTTATTGTAACTTGTTATGGATAACAAGTTTCATGAAACAGGGCCCAGGTATGAATGAGTACATGCATAGCCTTGTACGTATATTAGTACGGTGAAACCGGAGCATACATGTCGGCAAGCTAACTCCCTTATTAATTTAAACTATCCTTGCTTTCTACACATGTAGAAAACGAATAAATAAAGAAAGGAACAACAAGATGTCAGAAGTGTAAATAATTAGTTTTCTTTGATTTCAACTGATAACTAATAGCTATTGGTAATAATTAAATGGTTGAAAATGAAAAACATAAAATAGAGAGAGAGAGAGAGAGAAGGGAGAGGGGGGGGGGGGGTGAGAGAGAGGGGGTAAGGGGAGGTAGAGAGAGAGAGAGAAATAGGTGGAGGAGGTAGAAACAGGGGGAAGGAGGTGGAGAGAGAAAGAGGAGGGACGGGTGAGAGATACTTGGAAGATGATGATTAGGAGTGAGTGTAGAAGTCAGAGATGCATGAAAGGGATAGAAAACAAAAAAAGGAGAGGGTGAGCTGTGGAGAGATCGAGAGAGGAATCTAGGGAAAGTACTGAGAGAGAGAGAGAGAGAGAGAGAGGCAAGCTTCTTCTTCTTCTTCTTCTTCTTCTTCTTCTTCTTCTTCTTCTTCTTCTTCTTCTTCTTCTTCTTCTTCTTCTCTTCTTCTTCTTCTTCTTCTTCTTCTTCTTCTTCTTCTTCTTCTTCTTCTTCTTCTTCTTCTTCTTCTTCTTCTTCTTCTTCTTCTTCTTCTTCTTCTTCTTCTTCTTCTTCTTCTTCTTCTTCTTCTTCTTCTTTCTTCTTCTTCTTCTTCTTCTTCTTCTTCTTCTTCTTCTTCTTCTTCTTCTTCTTCTTCTTCTTCTTCTTCTTCTTCTTCTTCTTCTTCTTCTTCTTCTTCCCATACTATTGTAATTAGTCTATAATAATGATCTTACCGCCTGAATCTTAGACTAATTCGAAAGGTCATTTGAGGTGAACATCTGAACAACAGCAGAAATCGCGTAAGTGAGCTTATTTAACGTGTTCAAGTCCATCTTTAGTGTGAATGATTGGTGTATCTATTGTAAATAAAGACACTTTCGATTTAATCTTCCATTTAGATGCGATAGAGGTCACAATTAATCTTTTATCGCATTCTTTTAATTACAACAATACAAACTATTTATTGTGGTCCCACCTACGTTTATTGATGTGTGTAATTTCTGAGCTGATTCATAACCGAGCGCACTGATCTCGCAGCTCGCAGCTCGCAGCTAGATAGATTTGCAAGGGAGCACATTAAGCCATGAAATTGGAGCGGTCATTCCACCTTTTGTTTAAAATTCTTCATGTGCTCGGTCATGTTGATACTTGAAAATCGGGGTCTTGAATCTTGTACTCAGTTCTTGTTGGTGACTTCTTTATGATTTTGCTTTCCAATTGCCTGAGAATAGTGAGACTCTCAGACTGAGAGGTTGACCATCTCCCCCCCCCCCCCCCCCCCTTCTTAATTTTAAAAATATATATTATTAATCATCAGTAGGGGGCGCTGGTTGAGAATAAGGATCGTTTGCATAAAGGAGGATAGACGTGCCCGCTAAAATAAGAATCGTCATTTCTTATTTTCGATCCAGGCGTTGTCGTTGGCGATGCGAAAAACGGATTCCACAATGATTTTCTTGATGCATTTCACTATGAATTTAAACAGAGACTTTCACAATATGAGGGATAAATCCTCGGGAAGAAGGACAACATGAAAGTAGACGGTGAACTAGAGGTCTTTTTTTATGCGGAATCCCTTTTTCCGCATCGCCAGCATGTGGTTCGGGAACCCGAAAACCCGCAGAACGCCGATGAAAAAAACGCCTGCGAAAATGCGAATGATCCTTACTTTTTCTAGGACTTAATGTAGACTCTATCCGCGTTTGCAAGGATATCCTTGTTTTTGCGGAAGATCCTCATTCTTGGACGATCTTTAAATCCTGCTGCACATGTTATGCAAAAGAACCATGATAAAGCAAGGTGTAAAGTAAAATACCTGTAATCCGATTATAGTATAAAGTAATACAAATACCTTCTCATCAATATATATATTTATACTTAAAACACCAATCATCCAAAAACCACTGCCAAACTCAAATATATCCTCTCTCCTATTAAAATCTCCAGAATAAAAGTAGCAGAGCCCTAAATCAATACAACTGACTCAGAAGATGTCCAGTGCAAGTCTGGCTGTCCTAATTGTAGGCTGCTATGCAGCATTGTACTGAATATTTTAAAGCAAAGTAGGTCTATATACAAATGGAATATATCACAAACCAATTGCAAAATAGGATTTAAGAGTAAAACTGAATAATGAATAGGGAAACGGAGAAGAGAAACAATAACATGCATGTAAGAAGAAGATCAAAATACCTAATGCATTCACACAAGATCCATGAATAAAGAATGAGAAGAGAACAATTAAGGAACATACCAGGTGAGATGGAAGACTTGGTATGTAGAGGAGAGGAATGAAGGAAGGAACTGCGTTGAGTAGTTGAAGTAAATGATGTAAGTTAATAAGCAAATGATGTGAAATGAATATGTATAGAGAGAAGAGACTAGAGAAACAAATAGTAATTGTAACAAATACATATAGAAGGAGCCTATTCTAACTCTTACAAATAGTTTAACCGGTTTCAGCACATGACAATTAATTTTTTTTATTTTTTTTAAATTTGTTCTTTGCTTGCTGTTGTTCATTTAAAAAAAAAATATTTCTACATGTAACTGGCATAGCTGACAGTTTTTGTCTCTCAACTCACAGTCATCATTGTCATTTTTATGTTGAGGTTTGACTAAATTTACTTTACAGTATTCTACAGTACATGCTGACTCATATACCATGCAATCTGCCACTGAATTTAAAGTGAATTATTCCTTCCCTTTTATTTTTGGCAGATGGTATTCTACTGTAATTTGACAAGTGCTTTGTCCAAACACCATTTCTGCACTTCATGGCACTCATTGCAGTTGCACGCCTCACCTACCATCCCGGAATAGCTTCCTGAGTGAGCTGCTAAAGGGATTACTCAACCAAGTACCAAGTATTAAAATGATGGAGGGCTCAAGAGATGGATGTGGCCATGTGTCTAATGACAATGTTTCAATGTCATTCAGCCATAATATTGAAGAATTGATTGGTGAGTATTTTTACCACTTTTAATGTTTAAAGACACATAATAGTCGAGACTCATGCCAATAACGGGTGTTGTCAATCACCAAGATTACTCTTCAGTTTTATGACCAACAAGCTTTATGTAATGCTTTGCTCTACCCCATACAGTAAAGTCCTCAGAGACAAGGGGTATCTATTGAGTTGATTACAAGTTTGCTGTGGGCAGACTTGTACACCATTATTATAAATGGTTTTTCTACCAAGTCTGCAAATTACAGGCCTGATAAAAACCCGATTTAAATCGGTTTCCCGATTTTTTTTATTTTTCCCGATTTTTTCCCGATTTTTTTTTTCTTCCCGATTTAAAAAAAAAAAAAAAAAAAAAAAAAAAAATCATTTTTTTTTTTTTTTTTACCAATTTTTTTTTCCTTCCCTATTTTATCCTGATTTTCCCGATTTCCCTCTTATTATCTCTATTCTTCCCTATTTTTCTCCAAATTTTCCCAAGTTTGTCTCAATTTTCTTACTCGAAAGGGGGGAATGTTGTTAGATGCCATTTTTTCCCCCGCGAATCGTCTTTTTTTTTTTAACTCAAGGGTGGCGTGGTTGAGGGGAAAACAAAAAACCTATTTTTTTTTTAGTGCTCACTATCACCCCTGAAATTATGACTTTCTGCCCATGGAAACTGCCGACCCACCCACTTTACATCTTTGTCGCTTTCTTTGCCTTTCTGCACAGTCGCCCCTTTACTATACATGCAATTACCTCTGCCACAACCCCCCCCCCCCCCCCCCCCCCCCCCCCCTCCCACACACACAAACTAAAAGGCATGAATTTAGAGAAGGATTGCTTTGTGCAACACAATGGCTTTTCAAAATAACACATTTCAGGTCTTAATTAGCTCCATGACAACCCTTTCAACACAGGTATAAATTAATCCTACAGCAAATATGGCAATTTTCTCCTCGGCCAATCAAATGCTACGATTTCAGTAGATTATAACATTTAAATCATAACTTTAGTGAAACAGGATCCAGCACAAAACTTTCTTCTTTTTTTTGTCGATGGGGGATTTTTTGGTAATTCTAATCTCAGCAAGTTTGCTATTAACTTTCATGACCACTTATGAATGAGGTTTGATTATCAGATTTGTTATAAGATAAAACAGAGAATTTACATACCGTATATATTTCTTTTACATGTTATTTGTAAATGAAACTTTGACAACTTGCTGAAATTCACATATTTGCCTAATGAGAAAAGAAAAAAAAAATAGATGTAAGTAAAGATAAAAGATCATGCATGATTATTTTGGCAATCACTCATAAAGAGTCCTAATGAAAATATTATTGTTATTCCTACCAAAATTAGAAGAGAGTTGTGATACGACTATTGCAATTAATGCATGGACAAAAATGGGACAGACAGGTTTATTTCAGCAATTGATTCTGAGTAAATATAATCCTCTTTTTTCAAGGGTCCAGTTTTCACAATCACAAGTTAACTACAACATTAGTTGTGTAATATTCGGTTATGTCTTTGTCTATTTTTCTAGGAGGGGAAGGAGACCCAACAGGAGAGACATCTAATGAACAGAGGGATGATTCCGGTATGGACTGTGAACCACTGGATGGAGAGGGATGGGCTGATGACATCACAATGCCTTCTGGTGAGGAGATCCCATCACCTGATCTATCACATGCTCTGTCACATGACCCCGAAAGTGAGAGGCTTCCCCTTTTGTCACAAAACCGGTATGCTGAAGTTGGAAATGGACATAGTCATGTTGATGCCACAGACACTGTACCCGTCGAAAGTCACCAACACGGCACTCACACTTATGAGGGAGGAAGTCATGCCGAAGAGCTACACGTATCACCTGATATGTCACATGACCAGTCATATGTTAGAGGTACTGGTGAAGGAAGGGAATCACTTACGTCCAATGTTCAGCCTGGACTCTTGAAACAAAACACTAATGAGGCTAGTGACACTGCTCATGCAGATAAATCAGAAGTAAGTGGACTTCATTTGCAAGATGGAGGAATACATGCTACTGACACAGGGGAGGCCACATCATCTATGGGAAGTGACTACGTTGGAAAGAAATGTTTGCTTGTTGAGAATCTTGTAGATGGAGAGGGTCGGCAAGATGAGAACAATAAAAATACTGTTCTTGTGGTAGAACAGGAAGAGACTACGAAACAAGGTGATGAAAATGTGCCCCCTACGGACACAGTCCTACGATACACCCCCTGCAAAAAGAAACTTAAGAAGAAGAAAAAGAAATTGAACAAATCTCTGTCACATTACAAAAAGTACCACACTGGAGAGAAGGTCTTTGGTTGTGATGTCTGCGGGAAGATGTTCAGCAACCGAAGCAACCTGACCGTGCATAAGCGCATCCACACAGGATACCAGCCATTCTCCTGCGCTGTTTGTGAGAAAGCTTTCAGGAAAAATAGCGACCTTACCCGACACATGCGCATACATACTGGAGAGAAGCCGTATTCATGTGACCTTTGTGACAAGAAGTTTCGGTCTCGCAATGCTCTAAATTATCACAGTCGGAGCCATACAGGAGAGTTGCCATATCCTTGTGGCATTTGCAAGAGGCGGTTCAGAGAAAAGAGTAGGTTGACTCGTCATTTGAGAATTCACAGGCAGAAAAGAACTAAGGTTCCCAGTCAGGTGGCACAGTTTGTTGACCAAGGAGAAGAACAAGTGTTATGCTGTGATATTTGTGATGTAACTTTCGTTGACCAGAAAAGTCTTTTGAGTCACTTTGCTACCCATGACGGCCATCAGGTTTTTCGTTGCGAGAAGTGCAACAAGTCCTTTACCACAGAGGTGTCATATTCTCTGCATGTTATGTCTCATGCATCAGAACACTTGTATCGCTGTGAGGTATGTGATGAACTTTTCAGAGACGAGTCCAACCTCATCATTCATGCCACAACTCACGCAGAGGATAACGTAGAGATGCATCCTTGTGATGAGTGTGGTGACAATTTCAGAGACATCAGAACCTTGAACAGGCACAAAGATTCCCAGCACAATGTAGAGCAGTTCCACCAATGTGGTATATGTGAGAAGACTTTTACACAGCAAAGTCAGCTGATTTTCCACCTGAAGACTCATCGAAGTGGACGCAACAGGTGCATGGTCTGTGATAGAGTGTTCACAAGGAGTGCTAGTCTGGTTCGTCATATGAAGATGCATGGTGCTACAGGCGACTTGATGTCTGACAAGAAACACAGGGTAGATGATAATAAGGGTCACATTGACAGTGAAACATACCACTGTGATATTTGTGATAAATCATTCAGCAGTGAGGCACTTCTCGCAAGCCATATCGACAACCACAAGAGGCAGGAGCCTGTACATCGTTGCGGGATGTGTGAGCAGACGTTTTCCAGCAGCGCGATTCTCAGACAGCACATGGAAACCTTTCACGCTGTGGACAAGTCACATAAATGCGGGGTTTGTGATAAGACTTTTGCACAAGAAAGCCAGTTGACCTTCCACCTCCGGTCTCACATGCCTGGCCAGCGTTTCCAGTGCCATTTCTGTGAGAGGTCCTTCGCCACGACCAGTAGCCTTACTCGTCACCTCAAGAAACATCCCCAAGCAAAAAGATTCCTGCTGAGGAACAGTAAAGAACAGAAAGGGAGAACCAAAACAACTCGTTCAGTAAATCATGTGTATCGTTGCAATGTGTGCCATAAGTCCTACTTGGAGGAAAACATTTTCCTCAAGCATGTAAGAACTCACAAAATTGAAACACCAGAGAAGCATCAACCTGATGAGAATGTAGGTTCAATAACTCAAAGCAAGCCAATGAAGGATCACCTGTACCAGTGTGGTATGTGTGATAAGACATTGTCCAACGAGAATCAGCTGAAGCTCCATCTGAGGTCCCACCTAAGAGAAAGGTTTCAGTGTGCCCTCTGCGATCGGTCCTTCACCACCAACAGTAGCTTGACAAGGCACATGAAAGTCCATCCTGATGTTCCACGAGAGGACCCCTCTAGGAAAGCGAATCATGTAGATGCAGCGTCGAAATTCAAAAAGAAGGGGCAAAGGTATAAATGTGATGTTTGCAACGATGCTTTTGTGACTGAAGCACTTTTGGTGAAGCATGTGGAGACACATCAAGATGGAGATCTTTCCCAAGGCATTGTAGAAGGCGCATCCAAAGAGATTAGCAGGCATGATCCCATCGATACAGAAGACAAGTTTCATCAGTGTGGGATTTGCGACAAGACATTTACCAAAGAGAGCCACTTGACTGTTCACCTTAGATCTCATGGTCAAGGACATCGGTTCCAGTGCTCTCTCTGTGATAAATCCTTCTCCCGCAACACAAGTCTAAGACGCCATATGAAAAAGCATGTTGCTGCTCTTGCCAAAAGACGGAACAAAAGATCTCATCATAGAAAGGCTTTTGTTGGACAATCTCTTGAAAGCATCCACCAGTGCAAAAAATGTGACAAAATCTTCAGTGATCGAAAGGCGCTGAAGATTCACCTCCAAAGCCACTCAGAGATTCTGCCTTACAAATGTGGAATCTGCGAGAAGACTTTCTACCAGAGTACCCAAATAGCCCAGCACATGCTTACCCACTCACGGTACCAACCCTTCAAATGCGAGTTCTGCGATAAGTCCTTCTGCCAGCGAGGGGGTCTCAATCGCCACCGCCGTTGTCACACTGGAGAGAAGCCTTACAAGTGCGAGAAATGTGACGAGAGCTTCCGTGAGCGACGACAGCTGATCTGCCACACAGCAAGCCACAAGGGCCAGAAGGCCTACTGTTGTGAGGTTTGTGGCAGTTCTTTTAACCATGGAAGCTCTCTATCGCGTCACATGGTGTCTCATTCAGGAGACAGGAAGCATCAATGTGAGGTCTGCGATAGGAAGTTCTACCGCAGTGGTCATCTGGCAAGACATCTGCTTACTCACACTGGTTCCCAATAGAGGATAACTATACCAATGAATGTATTCATGAAGAACTACTTTTTTGAGGGTGCTATCGAGAAATTAAATTAATAGATTAAATTTACATGTCCACGTATTAAGCTACATCTCTATCTACGTTAGTGCCCTTGCAATAATGTGCCAGATCAAAAGACTGGCAGATGGAAAATAGAACATTGCATGTAGAATCAGTCATGCATGTAACACACTGTAATTAGCCAATTGGTGATTACACAGTTTTACTATCAAGAGAATGTTCACAACACACTGCAACGGATCACCTCTAAAGCTATTTGTTGACATTGCTCGTAATCACTCATGCAACAGTATTAGTTAGAATGTGTGACAATACTTTTATAACAAGGTGATTTTGCTGGTCCCAGCTATCTCTTTTTTTAAAACCCTGACGTAATAGTATTCCTGTTGTAAAAAGGTAACTTCCATGGTCCCAAGGAACTTGTTATTTAACGAGATAATGCTAAACACATTTCTTTTGCTGCAAAACCCTTTGCCAGCTCAAACCTTGCCTGCTGGTCAACATAAACAAGCCAAGTTCATGTGTACTAGGCTACTGTAGCGTTGCCAAAAATCTTGTAAACATTATCTTGATAGTAAAACTGTGTAATCACTAACTGGCTAATCAATGAAATTTATCCTTGTATTCCATCCAAACTTGGATTGGTTTCACCCACATTCTTTATTTTTTAATGATAAATATTCAGTTAACAACTAAATCATTCATTTCCCTTATTATTTTTTTTTTTCTTTTTCCTTTTTCTTGTCATAACTCAAGAATGAAAGGTGAACTGGTTGAATTAGAACCATTCTTGTTTACTTGAAGATGAGCTGTAATATGTCACATTCTGAAGAAACATAAATCAGGACTAATTAATTGTCAAAACACTTTAACAAACATTTTCAAATTTGGTAAGGGTATGGATAGTTTAGTAATTTATTTTCGATTTTGTTAAAATTGACAAAAAGGGACATTATGCACATAATTGCTCTCATTAATTTACAGTGTCATATTTTGGGGGTACCATATTCATGGCTCCATATGTCCTAGTTGAATAGGATAAACAGATTGATATTTACTGTTTACTTGAATAATTGAAGTACACCGTAATTCTAAAAGGGTGATTCTTCTTGTAACTTGCACTGTATACTTAAAGGGATCATTTAACAATGTTAAATCTGAGATACACGGCCCTACGTGTTATCAGTGTCTGTGATATGGTGTAATATTGAAGTCCTAAAAAAATTGCGCTTCAAAATGATCAAGAAGTGCCTCAAAAACGTAAAAATCTTTGAGTGACCGGTTTTACCATACTCGTTTTCTCCGATAGACTGTAGTGTTATGAAAACTGTCAGGCGAACGGTTTTCAAAATTTGTAATTCCAATCATAAATATCTTGATAATCAGACAGGCGATCAGCTTGTAAAAGTAGTGGGGTTCCTGACTGACCCTAAAGGTTTATAATTATCATTGCATCATGAGCTAAATCCAGAATTTTGTTTCAGAATCTGAGACAAAGTTACCGGATCCCTTTAAAGGGATTGGGTAACTTTGTCTCGGCCCAATTCTGAAACAAAATCCTGGATTTAGCTCATGCTGCAATGAGAATTATAAACCCTGAGGTCAGTCAGGAACCCCATGACTTTTTCAAGCCAATCGCCTATCTGATTATCAACATATTCATGATTGGAACTCAAAATTCAAAAATTTGTTTTCTGAACGGTTTCTATAACACTACAGTCTTTTGGGGGAAATAGGTATGGTCACAAAAAGCGGTCACTCAAACATTAATTTTGAGGCAATTCATGATCCTATTGAAGCGCAATTTTTGTAAGGCTTCAATATTACACCATATCACAGACACTGATATCATTGTAGGGCCATGCATCTCAGATTCGATATTGTTAAACGATGCCTTTAAAAATGAACAAATTAATACATAAAAGTACATCATACATGTATATATATATATATATGATGTTTTTACATGGTGAGAAATTAAGCTGACAGAACTGCCAATTTATATAAATTGCATATTACACATAGTTGTACAAATGGATATTTCTGTAAGATATGCATTGTGTGTATATATTGCATAGTTTGTGTGATATCGTTAAGCAAACATAATACTTAAAGTTAGGTCTATTGCTGAGGATGTATAATTATATTGAAATGCTGATCTCAATTTACTACATTGTTACATATAATGCAATCCATATATACCTATGCATAGTGTTATATGTAAAGTTTATACAAACACTTAGGTTACCCACTGTAGACATGAAATACATAGTACAATCTAGGCCTTTCTTGCAGAGAGATACAACATGAAATGCACATGTCGAGGGGTCAGTGACACAAATGAGCACTTGGGCCATGTTTCACTAGCCATTGACTTCAGTCTGGTGCTAGGTGGAGTTAAGTCTTTGTGTTTCCTGGAAAGCCCACATGTTTCTGAACATTTTGATATAAAATACCGGTACTCATTTTGGCAAAAATACAGAGTTACGTTTTTGTGTCACTGAACCCTCGATGTTATGTTTTGCCAATTGTCACTTTCTAGCTTTCTGTACACATCTGTGTATTCATGTCAACAGGGTCATGGTAGTTCCCATGCACTTGAGAAAGGAAATATTCTTCTTTTCCTCTTTAGACACAAAGGGTAAAATTATTGACTTAAAAATCAGACTGCTTCATTCAGGGATGGGCTTCGCTTGAATTACTCTATGTCGGGCTCTCGACTACAAATTATTTAAAAAGTCAAAGTAATTCCTCCAACCAGATATATTTTTCAGTCTGGTCAAATAGCAAAGGCACCAACTAATTATTCTATCTAGTCATATCTTATGCTCCTTTCATTGTTTTTGTCTATCTCCACAGTCTTATTATTTTCTGAATGTTTGATAATTTTATTTTGTCACACATGCCCTTTACATAGATACCAACCAGTACGATTTTATCCTCTGTTAGGTTTTACATAATCCACTTTGGTGTGCTGAAGGTCAAAATAGCAATATTTTAGTATGGCATTGTCCCTGAAATGGAAACTAACATACTTGGACATTATTTAACAATCCATAACTTATTGTTTTTTTAATCATACGTAGGCAACTCTTAATTTATTTGTTGATATGTGTGGAATAATACACATTAAGAAATGTAAAGGAAATCTTTGTACTGTATATTTGTTAATTGTCGCTTGAAATGTTGTTGTTGTCTTCGTAGGCCTGTTGCTATCATTTAGCACTGTGGCACTGGGTGCATTGTATGGATGGCAGCTTAAGAGTTAAACAAATATTTTGTATTATTAGGTGGTCTGTCGATGACAGATCACCTATTGATTTCGCTAGAATTTTCTTTCTTTATTCTTTATTCTTTATTTCTTTATTTTTATTTCTTCCGTACACTTTTTTGTGCACACGTTTACTCGAAATCGACATGGTCAATTTCCTTTGAATTTCTGTCAGTCATCAAGCCCTATGATTTCAAGTCTATTTAACTTTTTCAAGTTCATGGGGTCATCGTGACGTCATCCAGGCGCCATTTTGTAAAAATCAGGTCATTATCATATCTCGATAACGAGTCATCAAAAATCAACCATATTTAATATACATCAACTTCAGGTCAAAGGTCAACAAAAAATGTCAACAAATTCTGCGCGCGCACCTCGACGCGCACGTACGCGCGCATTAACATTTTAAAATGGTCAAATTCGTTCCAAATTAATTTTGCATACGTTTCAGGCCATTTTAAGCATTTTCAAAATTTGCGCGCGCGTAATTATGCGCGCGCGTTTCCGCGCGTCCTGGCATTTTGCAACATAGAATCGCCAAATTTGTTCTGTTATCATATTTATTACATTTTTCCAAGTATTTTGATACCTTGTTTACCTTTTTCCGACCAGTAATAACGCAATTAGCGGCTGTCAAAGTTGAACGCACGCGCCGACCTGCGCTATCTGTATCCACAATACATGGGCAAAAACATGCCTATACAAAATTCATTTTAACTCTTCAGAATGGATAGATACCCCCCAATTTCTTTCATATTTAAATAGATTATGAGTTGGAGATATGATTTCATATTTCATTTGACCCTCAATTAACTCATGACGTCATCATAATGGCCTCCGAACTCATAATTTCAATGTGTATATTATGACGTCAGCAGATTTTTGGAAAATTGATTGTATCTCTGTAAATATTGATCAACTTTCTTTCAAATTTTGATATGTTCTACCTGAGGATATTCTCTACAAATACAGTCTCCACAAAATTTCATTTTGACAAAGGTATCATGGCGTTTTTTGCGATTAAAGGAGGCATGTCAATTTTTCACATTTTGCGTGTATTCTCTATGGGACATGACTTTTTCTCAAACTGGATTCTACATTCTCGTCTTTCGCGAGCAATATCTCCGTCGTTTTATCTTTGTTTACGCTGAGCTTCGAGTATGTTGTAGCTGAGAAAAAAAGCTATCATAAGTGTGCCCTTTATTTTTCGATCAGATGCCGGGATCATGCTCATATTTCACTTACAAAGTGAGATTTGATAATTCCATTTTCCGTTTACGTTTAATCTCTATGGGAAATGTTTTGGTATATCGGTAACGCACTTGACTTCCGAGCTCGAGGTCCCTGGTTCGAGTCCGGGCGTCTCCAACAATTTTTTTTCTTCACTTTTTTTTCTTTTTGACCTTTCACTCTACCATCTCCTTTGAATATTAAAACACGTACAATCGCAAATAATGTAATAAAAAAAATCATATTCACTTTATTATTACCCTATTATCACTAGATCCATTACTTTTGGCGTGTAATCCTTATGGGAGATGACTTTTTCTCAAATCTGGATTCTACATTCTTGTCTTTTGCGAGCAATATCGCCGTTATTTCGGCTTGGTTTTTGTTGATTTTTGAGTATGTTGTAGCTGAGACTATACGCTATCTAAATGTCCTCTAATTGTGTTCAGTCTGATGTCATCGTGGTCTGTTGATGATAATCATCAACATCATCATGATCATCATCATCGTCATCACCATTACTATCAAGATCATCATCATCATGATCATCATGATGATCATCATTGTTTACATGTCTATATAACTTCTCCCTTTCTCAATATAGTAAATATAATAATCTCTCATAAGACTTGAAGACAGACCACCTAAATCGTCCCCATGACGAATTAAATTTCTAGTTATCATTATCATTACAACTACTATATTGTGTTTGTATACATGCAGTAGGCTTGCAGAAGCACCATGTGAGAGAGAGGGAGGATTGAGGAGTCATTGTTTGTATTATTATGTTCATTAATATCTTAATTTTTATTTTCAGTATTTATTTTTCAGTCTTGATAACTCTAAAAGATAAAGGACTTATGCATGTGCAATAGGTTTTGTTTACAATACCACATAATAATAGAAATACACTAGACAATAGGCAATATTGTTGCCAGGTTGAAATGATGTAAATGTAATGGTGGAAAAAGGAGAGAAAATGAGTAAATTAATCCCGATCGCAACAGAATGCTAAAACCGTATTGGGAATGTTGTATTGACTTTGTTTACATATAGGAATGTGAGAAAATTGTATTGGCGTGTTGTAAAATCCGAACCTATTTTAAATGTGCAGTATACATAGTGGATTACAAATATGGTCGTCAAAGTGATTTCTTGAAAGTCTTCACGGTCGGGGAATAATATTTGAATTATGTCTGAGAGGTGTGTTTGG